TCCGGTACCCTAACTTGTTCTGAGAAAGATCCAGCTTCTTTAGGATTCAAAGGTCCCGTAACTTTTCTTGCCCGTCCTGCTCCTGGATCCAAGGGAAGAGAGATGATTTTAGGATACAGGGCTTCCAAGCACCCCGACGCAGACATTGCCTCCCTGCTTTAGGTCACGCATGTGACTTAAAAAAGCGGAACTAGTAGCATAGGCACGTGCAACCCACAAAGAGCGCACAAAAGCAAAGATCATGGGCCAGGCTGGACCCGGTACTCGTACTTCGTGAAGTCCTCCAAGGTTATGACCTCGGGAAGCTGGATGCACAAGAGCCATAGTCTAAACTCTTAGTACTGTATCCCCCTTACTAAACCCTATAGTATTCCTCTCTATAACCGCCTATATAACCCCCTTTCAGGAGTTTAGACTATGGCTCACATTGCTCACTTCATGATGTCCACCAGGTCTGGTTTGCTTCCGTCGCACCTACATTGGTAGTCACCTTCTCTCACACATGTGCCAGGAAAAGATGCCGCAGAACTAGACTTGCAGCCCAAGCACTCGTTGCTTACAGTCATGTAACATGCAAAGTTGAGAACCTTGTGAGATCGAATGACTGAACCAACCAGCGCAAAAACCAGGTGCACAAACATGAAATGCGTTTACCTTCTACAGAAAACCTATGGCAACTTAGATCGATTCACTGTCGCTGCTAGTACTGCTAGTGCTGTGCTCCCGGTTTTAATGTTGTCGCGAATCTGTTCAAAGTTTGAACACCGGAGAAGGGCTGAAAGAACACTTTGGCACTGCCAAAAAACATGCGCAAACTACCCGACTACAGCACCTGCTGCACAACCCGGCTCGCCCCTTTTACAAAGCATGTCAAAACCACCGTTGCTGCTGCCGAATTTCTTCGCGCTGCCGCAGCTGGCAGCAAGACTGGAATGACCCAGTGAAAAATCACGACAGCTTGGGCCCACGCCACGTGGGCAATGCCTCTACGCGAATTAGGAGCCTAGCCAGCCAATTTGTCGCTCTCGGCTTGCGAAGCTTGACGAACGAAGCAATAAGCAAAAGGCACAAAGTCATTTCATTCTCAGGTCTATCAAATAGTCTATCACCTACACGGGGTCTTCAGTCGCGAGACAGGAAGGTTTGCGGGTGTAGCCAAAACGGTTTCGATGGCCCAGTGTCATGGAAAACTTCTGCAACAGGAAAGAAAGAGCTCCAGCGATGACAGGCAAGGATAGCTGATAACTTGCAGCCACTGTTTCGCACGTATGCGTGGAAGCAACTCAGCAAATATTTGTTTTCCAAAACCCTGGGGCCGGATAGGAATTTCAGCCTAGAGCTTGTTGCGGTTTGGTCCAAAGTGATGCTTCAGAATAGGGAGAAGGTGTTGGACTAAATTCGTATGCATTCCAAAAGAACAAGATGGTAGATGTCAAGAGAAGACGCGCAAAGAGCACGTGCCCAAAAAGTACTTCTTGGACAAGGTAGGGCCTAAACTTGCCAGGTTCTTATTCAGCAGCACCCCCTCAGAGTTAACAATAGCGACTGCTAGGGCCATCGACCGGCGCCCGTCATACGAGGGCACGAAGGCGAGCGGCGTCTCTTTTGAATACAAATTCCATCGGGTTCATGGTCCTGCAGAACAAAACTTTGTGCAATCTCCGCTCTAAGGCCTTTGTAGATCGGCAGTCTTACAAGCAAACAGTACCTGGCTCCATGGGAAGAACTCAAGCACACATACACCCCGCACTTCAACAAATCTGCAACAACTCTCGGCGATTGGGGCAATCCTCCCTGCTAGGAAACCTGAAAATGACAAAAGGTGGAAGGTGCAAACATACAAAACTACGATATTGAAACTTCCATAGGCTGACAGAATGCTATCTACTGGGTTGGCCCCTAAAACCCTTTGAAAAATATTAGTATATAGGGTCCCCTATTAAAGCCACTAGGGAAAAATGTCAAATATCCCAGGGGCCTACCCAGTCTACCATGATGGCAATTTCTAGCCTTCACCCAATCACCGTGCTCATGGAGGAAGGACTGCTCTGGAACTGTGGCATTGTCCACAGGCACCGTGGTGGCACCGTAGGTATACCTGGCAGAATTTCCATAATTGGGTGGTTGTCAAAATTATGGGCCCTTTTTGGGTACACTAAATATTAGGTGCCGTATTAGAATAGGGATCCAAAAAGGGACCATAATTTTGACAACCACCCAATTCAAAACAGCAAGATGCAAGGGTCTCATCTGTAATACCGTTTTTGCTCTATACAGGCTGCCACTGACCCAAACACTTGCGCAGGACGACGATTCATGAGCTCTGCCTACAAACCTGGGCGTTTCTCAAGACGAGGTACGGCTACAAATCGCAACATGACACGAGACCCTAAAACCTCCACTTAAACACGCTTCCGTGGACTCAAAGATTGGAGCCCATTCCAAAGGTGAATGTTGCGATTACAGAACAGCCTCTGGACTAAGCAAATGAAGGTTGGGAGTAAGTAAGGCTTAGCCATCAAGATTTCGGGTTTTCAAATGTTATCTGCCAGTGCAATACCTGACGAAACATGTACATCTATGTGTGCAAATGTATATGTATATCGAATTAAATAGGCCACCAAATGATGACACATATACCATCTGGCTGTCTAGTGCTTCCATGCTTGAGGCTGTCCAATCCGGTTTGAACTAGACCCTGAACCCGGCCCTACATACCCCATTATGGTAATTCAAAGCCTTTTTGTATGTGGACTCTGAGCTGCCAGCCACAAACACCACAACTCCAGGAACTCAAACCCAAAATCCCATACACAAGTCAGCAACGTGCAGCGCACCAGTAGTCTCCAGCCTTGGGTGGTTGGGAGAGAAAACAAAAGGACTTCCGAGAGTTTGAGGCTTCAGGGCCAGGGTTCAGGGTTTAGGTGGCAAAACCAGAGTGGGCTTCCTACAAGGCCCTACATAGGCCCACGTGATACATGTGCAACGTCTAGATTCTACATGCCCTCTGTCCAAAGCTGAGACTCACTCCCATGACCCCCGCCCAGTCGGCCCTGTCAGGGAAGTGGACCGCGCGGTAATACTCATCATAAGACTGGTAGTAATTCCCCAAAAATGATGTTCAAGAAAGTTCTCTCAAGTCACGGACCATCACAGAGAGGGAGGCTGCTTTACAGATTGCACTGCTGCCATGCCACGGCATGGCGACCATGGTCCTCGAACTCTGCCAGGAACAGGCGTGTAGCAACCTCGGAGCTGGATGCTGAAGCCTTGAACTTCTTGGGGCTTACAAATTCAACGTACCCTTCACCAGGAAGATTTATGGTTAAAGACAATACGAACTGCAAATTCTACTGATCTCAGTGCAACTGTATTCTCCTGATCTCTTAAGAGATGCCAGCGCTGAGCAGCGCAGGAATAGTGGAGATTCTTAGCAGTTCCCAAGGTTGCGTCAGCTGTAGGAGGGGTTAGAAGAAGGCTTCCGAGAGTTATGGCTGCGGGATACTCTAACGAAGGTTAAAAGGCTCTACTGCATCGTTTCAGACGTCCAGGCTTCATCATCATGGCACGTCCCGGTTGGAACCAAGGCAAATATGGTTTTACACACTTTGATCACCAGAGTCCACCAGGGCGAGAGACCACACCTGGGGCCCAAAATCGAAGGTGCGACGGTATTCGGGTATTTGGACATGTCTTCTTTCAAAGTCTAGCTGCCTGCCTCACATCTGAAATTTCTGGGTGCAGGAAATTCTGAAAGAAGCTTCTGCAATCCAAAGTCTCTGGAGCTGCCTCACCCTTGTTCGATCCACAGCTAGAAATTAACATACCTCCTTCAGTAAGACAGAAGCAGGTCCTGATTCATGCGGAGTAGCTCCACGCGTGGGCATCGAGTAGCTTGTTGGCTGGTAAATGGGCACCTGAGCAGAGATACCAAAGAAAACAATGATGACAATGCTCTTCGTTGTGCTGATGCTGGTGGTTGATCAACCACCTTACTTACATAATGTGCATGCTACAAGGAATTGGGTAGTACTGATTGATTGATTGGTGAACAATAAACAAGTGTACTACAACCAACTAGAAATTTAATGCTCTACATGGCAGACTATCGGATCCCTATCCATTGCGGCAGGCAGTGGCAAGACGCCTGCAGCCGCGATGGAAGTATTGACTAAACAGACACCACTGTCAGTGCTGAAACTCCAAACACTTCTGTACCGATCGCTTTGCCAGTTATAAACTACTCATGATGTTGCTACCGCATGCGGCATCAGAACGATTGAGGAACCGTGCTGCCCATGTAACCTCTTTCACTCGGGATCCGATGCATCCCATACCCCACATTCTACACCTCAAGAAACTGGGTTTCCCTGACTGGGAATCTTCTTTGCAAGCAGGCACGGGACCATCCCTCATCTAACCCCTTACATACTCAAAACTCCAAAGCCCATACTGCAACGCTTTCTTATCTTGTACGCCGTGTGGAGTCCAGTGTCCTAACGAATGCAAAACTCGATGAAACCCCTTGAAATGAAGGTCCAGTTAGCAAAAGTTTTGTTGCTCATGCCAGCGTTCTAATTGGGGCGGAAATAATTGCTTAACTGTAGGCACTTGGGGTTACACCTGGCCCTCATGTTCACCAAGTTGCCCGTAGCAGGGGCGAGTAGAAGTGCTCAATGGTGGAGGGCTCGGCACCCACCTTGCATCAAGATTGGACTCCAAATTTCTGGGCACAGGAAGTCTAAGTTTCAGAATGACCGTGGAAATGACGACGACGGTGCCATCCCAACTGGGGGGTCAAGGGGTCGAACTGCGCAACAGGCATCCCAAACGCAGAAATCCTCAACTCCAAGTGAAAGGATCTACGGCGATGTTTTGGACTTTGCCGCTAGAATGGCTCAATGCTCAATAAAAAAAAGCGGCCACTGATATTTTTGGGTTTACTGTAGCTTGGCTCGAGGGGACCTCAATAGTTGAGGGACAGCACTACAACGCAACAGTCACCGAAGGAGGACTGCAGGGCCTCCCATTCTCGCGGCAAGTATCCCAGCTCCACCTCCTGGCCGAAGCAAAATACTGAACAAGGTGATGTAGTTTGTTCGCGCCTGTTTCTTCTCAGCCTTACAAACATGGACCCTCGATCAAAACACCGCAGTTTGAAATGACGCGCTGTCAGGCTCGCCCCACCATTCCAGAGATCATGGCGCAGAGAATCGTGCCCAGTAGCACAACAACTGTCTTCCTCACTGATACACCGTTTGCTCGCTCTCAAGGTAACATAGAGGTTTTTCACAGTGCCCAAGCATCAAATAACAAATTAGGGCATGACATGTGAACTGCGAGGACTTTGGGTGTGCTTGGTTGCTACAGTGTCCTGCATGGCATCCAATGCGCCCGCCACGTGGGTTGGCTGAAGGAATGCAGCTTTCAGCGTGATTTCGTTCCATGCTGCTGACCATTCCTGCAAGGCAGGGCAACCTTACATCCCAGGATTTGAAGTAGACCCGCTAAAAGATGCGAAAATGGATCCCGCACGGAAATGTTGAACAATACAATGGTGCGTGGGCTCCACCTTGTGTTTTTCAGAACGAGAACACACTGATCAAAAATGGCGGCCTTCCTAACCCAACACGATTATGATCAATTATGTGATATTATGTGAGCACTACAAGCCACAGCTTGGGCGTCCAAGACGCAAGCTGATTCTGAGAAGAACCCTTGAAAGTCCCAGGTCCAGGTACATGACTGCACAATATTACGGACACGCAGCAAATCAGAACCTCAAAGCCTGGCACCCCCACCTGCTTGACGCCTATTCTGTGCGTCTGGAACTCCAAGCATGAATCAGACCTGATCATGCAACATGGCGTATGGAAGTGGGGATAACTCAAGGAACAATGATGGCATAAAGGATCACGGGAGATCATGGGGCTTATGGGGAGTGGCAGGGATTAAGGGTCTGGGCGCATGGGACATAAGGTACTTCTGGGCCCACACCTGCACCATACATCTTAGAGACGTAACTGTCATGCCCCAAAATACTTCACGGTTTATGGTTTGGTTTAAGTTTAAGGTTAAGTGCTGCATCATAATGCCAACTGCTGGATGAAGCTGCCAACTTAGTGACAGGCCAATTGGCACCGTGACGGAAATCCTGCGCAAAGGAAAATGTTGAGTGGCACCTCCTCTACCCTGGACCAACAGAAATGGGGCTCCAAAACAACCAAGGGACAGCAGTAGACAAGAAGTCTTTTTCCAGGTTCGGAGACGTGATGCAGCCAGAAATGTGTTACGCAATGACACATGACAGGCGTCCTGTGGTTCTTGTCCCCCGAAATGCTGCAAGCGCGCACCGCACTGGCCCACCCTCAGAAGCAAACACTGGCCGCTAGCCTAAAGACTGCAGGAGAATCAGGTGGCATCAGCACTTCTGGTCACTTGAGGCCTGAAATCCCTGTGAGGCGCAGGCTCCAGCTTGTACGACAAGGAACCTAAGAAAACACATGAGCCAGTCTAAACTTCTAGTATCCCCCTTAGCAGCCCCTATAGTAGTCCCCTATATAATCCCCTATGTAACCCCTGTCAAGAGTTTAGCTATAGCTCACGTGTGCATGTGTGAAACGCCTCTATAGACCTTGCTAGAAGAATTGGACCCTGAACACCGGGACACCCAAGAAAGACACCATATTGAAAGGAACCCACATCGCTAAGTCGCTAAGCATCTCTTTGGCGGGGGATGAAGGAATTCGTAGACTGGCAAACTTTCACCTGCAGGGTGCTGTTCTCGAATGATGGGTTCATGGGGGCGTCAATTGCAACACAAATCCAAATTGTGTGTTGAGGTGAAGCAATGGGACCTGATTTTGGAAGCACGCATGTCTAAGAGCCGGACATTCGAAGGAGTTCCAGATCACGCCCGCCTGCTCCAGATGGCACATGTGCAATTATGGGATTGCGGCAAAGCAACATCACGACTGCCTGACGGTACCGATCTGCGGGACAGAAAAACAGGCGCGGAAGTCGGACCTTGCACGATACTCTGGCAGTACATGGTACAGCTTGGCTCCTCGTTCAAGAGGCCCAGGCCACGGATATGTCTCTCATCACTCGTTGGGTTGGCGGAGCCTTGTGCCGATTTGTGCCGACTTGCGCGAAAAGGACTTGCAACAATCAAGGGCCCCTTTCCAGGAGCAGAGAGGCATGCTTTTCAAAGTTCTCTCAGCAACCAACCTCTTCCAAGCATGCATCGACTCAACCACTGGCTCAAGTAAGTGCATCATGGAGATCGTTCATGTCGTCGGTCAAAGTTGACACTCCCGTCTCGTGCATGATTGTGTCTGACACCAGCGAACCATTCTGGGGCGCCGACCAACAAAGTATCTTCAAAACGCACGAGCCTGGGTGACGCTTGCTGACATTAGATTATAACGTTAGCTAGTAGGCCACGCTGGGCTCCTGGCAGAACGGTGACATATATGACAAGAAAGAATATCCTCTGCTCGCCCGCTTCCCGCATGCTGATTCCACATGCTTACTTCAAAAGCCCTAAACTCCAGCTCTACACCTTCATGTCGCAGTCAAGGGTCGCAACAGCAAGCGGAACCAGGTGCTTGAAGTCTTGCATCTTGCGAATTCGAGCAAATTCGCTCCATGCGTTTTATCAATTCACATCATGTACACAGTGTGTCGCGTGCTATGTGTTCCACACCCGCTGAAATTGATAATCTGGTGTGTTTTAAGCTCGTGCATGCACACTGTGACGCATCAGGGTCAACATCACGCACGAGTCGCAGTGCTGCTGCTGCCTCATAATAGATGGTTTCATGATGACGGAGGCCAATGACCTCGCGTTGACGTTTGACATGGCTGTCATCATTTCATGTGGTGAATATAGCTGAAGCCGGAAGCGCGGAGTGGTTGGGGTTCATCGGCCCGGAACCAAGCATAATATGCGAAGGAACGTGACCATAGCAGCAATGACATCAACAAGGGCAATCAAGCACATGCCCAGCACAGAAATGGATCTTTTTGCAGCCCCGGATCTTGAAAACCCCTCAATGCTTTGAAGCCAGTTCGAAATCTGTCCTAAATTCGGAACTTGAACCCCTCGGCCAGCACATGGGATGGGAGTTCTACCGAGTGTCTTGGAGCCTAAAGGCCTGCCATGCACACACAACCCAACCCTGTCTGGGTTTGGAACTTCATGGTTGAAGGTAGGTCATGGGCGCAGTGGTGAAAATTGGAGGGTTTCTGTTCTAGCCCTAGCAAAGGACTGCATGACACCTGTACCAACGGTTTTCACATACTTTTTTGGCTAGTCTGCTTAAAAGGGCTTTCATACCAGAGGAGCCCATCCATGCGCAAAACTTGGGTGGGATGGGGATTGGCAACTTTAAGTGAAGCAGGTATGAGTCTTCCAATCGCAATTCGCTCGAGATATCTGTTCACATTGGTGGTAAGGGTAAGACGGAAACATGGGAGCACAAGTGGCCAAACATCCTGTGCTCAATACTAATCAACGGATCTCAAGTGGGAAAGATCAGATTACATCCTGCATCGTGAAATTGAAAACCCCCAAGCCCCACATCCACAAACCGTGCGACATGTTTTGCCAACGTGATCCGCTTCGTCGCTGCGACCTGCCCGCTCCTCCACAAGGATCGGTTGCCTACAACGGCTTGGCTCCTGGAGCAGGGGTCTGGGCTTGCTGCACTGTCGCGCAGTCAAACGATGTGCCTTTTCGTCGAAACCAACGGCATGTCCTTCCCGCTATATGTCCAACCATGATGTAAGAAAACTCATTTCAATGCGACGGAGTCTACTGGCGCGCATTTCCTGGCTGCTACATGTCCAAACATACTGCAGACATACGCATACTGAAGCCTTCATGAGCACCGAATCAGCTCTCTTGATGGCATGTCCATGAGCTGAATCAGGATACACGGCCATTCGCTTGAGCACTTTTACTCCGCTCTCCCGTACATGAGCATCGCGCGAAGGGATTGTGATGTGCTCCCGACCATTCTACACGTGTCGCTCATGTTGTCTTAGGATTCTCACTTCAATACGCGTCACGCAGCTTCACTGCTCAGGACTAACCTTTCGACACAACACAGTAGAGCAAAAAAGGGTTTTGTAGGTCTAGAGACAGGTTGGCCACTGGCCTGGATGGGGTTGGGGATAGTCTGGAGCCTAGGCATTGTTTTTTCGATGCTCGTAGGCCTTAGCTAGGTATAGGCCTAAGATAGGCTTAGGCCTAGGGATAACCTAGGCAAAGGCCTACAGTGAGACCCGGAAGTCATAACAAATTGAAGCTCGGGAGCCTCTTCCCCGAGTAAAGACATGCAGAGGGCACAAAGCTGAGAGCAAACAGCCAAAAACAAACAGCTCAAAGGCAAAAGCAGAAGGCGAAAAGCAGTCAGAAAAAAACGGAAAGCAAATAAAATGAGAACATAAGAGGCAGGCAAAAAAAAATGAAGACGAAAATGCTGACAAGGAGATAGCTACAAGCTGAAGTAACAGCAGCCCCGGCACTAGGAGAATGAACCTAGACCACAGGCCGAGGCTAGAGGCAGGGTTCCTACGCAGCAGGAAATCAGCAATCTCCTGCACATTCGCGGGATGCACAGCCAGCGGCATCGCAGCCGCGGCGTCGGCTCAGCCTTCATTTTGCGCAGGATTGACAACAGCGAGATCTTAGCTGTAAATGACTTCAGTCTTGGCCCTTTTAAGGGTAGCCTTGGGGGCAGGCTTCAGAATTTGGAATTCTCGGGGAAGCCAAATTGTTATTAGGGGGGGGTGTTGATATTAAGGGGGAAGCGATTATGCAGTTTCCGGTCCAACGAGGCCGGCCAAGACATGCAGTTCCAGTCAGTTGCATGTGACACGGTGTGCTTGGGCTCAAACCTTTCCAAGTCTTCTCTCATCTCGCTTCAATGTGGTCATTTTACTAGCACAGCTCTTGAGGATCAGGCATCTCCTTGATTTTCTAGGCTTTGATTGTTTTAGAATGGCTTTTATAAATGAGTGTGTATAACATGCGAATGCACTTTGAATTTGATTTATTGCCATGTTACATCGCTTTTAATTTAATTGCGTTCTACGTTGATTTACTGAAATTGCAGTTGATCTTGATCAGATGCTAAATAGAATTTGATAAGATTATGTGTATTTTGATGGGCTTCATTGAATTGATTTCAAATTGGTGTTGTTGAACAGGGCGCGGCCGCCTCCAGGTCGAGCATCGCCAAATCAACAATCGGATCCTCGTAATCGCCACTTAGGGTTCAGGTTGTGACATGAGGTTGAAAGCGAAACACATAGCAATGCCCAAGCCAACCCTGTTGGCGCGTAATGCGCCCAAGCCCAACTGACAATTACGCTACAGTTTGGAGGGTCTTTGCCTCGATCATCAGGTAATGTGAGCTTTGAAAAAAATGTGAATCAAAGGTAGAATAAAGCTGCCAGAAAGTTGGGGCCCTCCGATTACGAAAGGCTAGAGGTGGAAAACAAGCTACCAAAAGGCTGCTTCTGACATGTGACATGTGCATGCAATGGCTCGAGGATTTTTTGCTTCGTCATGCCTGGCAAAATTCAAGGCTGTCATAACGAAGCACGGGTGCAAACATCTGCTTGTCCAGCACACAAAACGATAGCAACAGCTCACGCAGCTTGAAAGCAAGCACGAAATCAATACAAAAACAAACCAGCGCATGAAAAACAACACCAAGCTAAGCCAAAGGAACGACTCACAGAACCAACGGCAAAAACTGCTTTAAAAATGCAAATACACGAACAATGCTGGGCAAACGCTTCCAAAATCTCTCTTTTTCAGAGTCCTG